GTTCAGTTGAAAATAAGAATATAACTTTAAACATGAGTATAATTTTTTGATATCTGGTTAAAATGTTTTCTTCCAATACCGCTTCAAGGTACACTTACATTGTAATATTTCAGCTGTTAACATTTTTTCAGGACTTTCATTCTCGCACAAAAAAAGATAAAATTTATCCTTAAGGCGAAGTTCAGCATTACGAGTTGCATAATAACGACTATGCAAGAAAAAAGTTGTATTTGATAAAATCGTTATAAATCCCTGCAGTTTTTTATAAGGTGAAAAGAATAAATTCTTTTAAAATTAAATTTTTACTATTTACAATTGCAGTTTTGTCCTACCTCAGTTGAAATGTCAACAGCACGCAGTGTAAGTGCATTTAACTCCATGTGATTCAATTTGGCAACATCGATCCATTGTACACCAATTATCTTTCCATGCTGAGATTGATTTCGAAATGCTAACTGCACAGCGTTCAGGTACTCCAGCTGCAGATTGCTTGCTGCATTCGACGTGGCATTGTGTACTATCAATACCGAGTACAAGTTCCCAAAGTAATTGCCAACTGCAGTTAAGAAACTCGTAAAAATGTTTTAAAATTTTATATAAATTTTGGCCAAAGGCACTCCTTACTCAAAATTTGCAAAAGTGCGGTGACATGCGTCTCCTCTAAAATTCCTCCGTGCACCAACATTTTATCGAAAATAATTAAATGCCGATACTGAAATTTATAACTTATATAGAAACAAATAATTTTCAATGCAAAGTTTAACTTTTAATAAAGTTTACAAATTTATTTTGCAAATTGAAAAATAATTGATAATAATTTTAAAAGTAAACATGCTGGAAACAATCTACTAAAATTTTTATGTGCGATAGGTTGGTAAGTAGTCCTATAATTCCATAAATATGAATATACAAGTTTCGACTTATGGAGTCAATATTAAAATTTTACCCGTATTTGTTCAGGTATGTTCGATATTTGGTATTTTGGTATTTTATTAAATATTTTGTTTTTAACATCACAAAATTGATTTGAATATTTGTTAATTATTGTTATTAAATAATTGACAACAAATAATAATTTTAAATAACATATAAACGATTTTTGTAATTTGTAGCAATATAATCTATATATCAAATATCTGTTGGCACACAGATACAGTGACATGTCTCGACAAACAGAGAGGGACTTAAAATCAATGCTACCAAAACAAAATGTTAACGTCCAAGATCCTTTTATTATAAACAACTGCTGTCTTGGAGATGTAGATTCTTTCTGCTTTCTTGGAAGCATCATATCAATAAATGATGCCATCCAGTGCTGACATCGAGAACTGTATTAAGAAGCCAAAACAAGCGTTTGGTTGCATAAATTAAGTCTGGATAATACGAAGTTTTAACTTCAACATAAAATCTTGCCTCCTATATGGAACTCAATCTTGGAATGCTACGGCAAACGGCATCAAGTTTTCGTAAATCAGTCATTTCGCAAAATTGTTAAATTATTTATGGTCTTTAACTCAACAAACACCTATAAGAACCGAAACTCAAATGGGAGTGGGTCGGTCACACTTTGCGTAGACTAACTGGTGACACCACAAGAATGGCAATTGAGTGAAACCTGATGGGTAGCAGAAGAAGGAGCAGACCTGCACACACCTGGAGAAGGCAAACATTCGTACCGAGTGAAGGATCTTTGTTGCGGCCCTATGCTTCTCCTAGGAGTTTAAGGATTCAATATATATATATATATATATATATATCAAATGTATCAAGCACTTATTTACTTATTAATTTTTACATATTTTTCTTTAAAATTAAAAAAAATAACTGTTTAAATATTAATTTAAAATTCCTGTTTTTTATTATATTAAACACTTTCAGTGATTTTATTTTAATTAATATAATTTTGATAATTGTTATTTAATAAGCTCTTAATTCCTTTGGAAGTAATTTAAAATATTTTCAAGGCCAACATTTATTTTAAGGACAACAAGAATTGTCTAGGAGGGGAATAAATGAAACAAAATTTTTGTCAGTTTCATTAAATTAGAATTTTGTAATTTCGTGAATTGAAGTACAAACATATTTAAAGCTGCATTAATTCATGTACAAAATAATTATGAAAGCATTTTGTCAATATTTACATTTATATTTCCATACCTAAGAAGAGCCAAAACGAGGGGAGAATGAATCAAAATCCTTTTACAAAGTGAAAAACTTTTGCCATCATAATTATTGTATAATCAGCGACTGAATCTGAAGTACAATTTGAAGTTCATTTAGGTGCTGAAGCAAAACTGAAACTGAATTACTTTGAAAGATTTTTTGGAGTGACTTTTATGAGCAAATCAGCAGAATGCCCTACACATGGTTGGTGTATTCTGAAATGACATTTAAGAAGAAAATTAAGGTTTATATATATTTAAATAATTATTTCTTACAAAAAGAGAAAATTTATTTATGTTACAGTAACTGGTCTTAAAGCTTCTAAATCTGTCAATTATTCTATGTATGTCACTCCACTTATCCATATTCTGCGTGGTCCTCTTGTTATCTTGGTCAATGGTAAATTTAAAGTACATATTTGACACTGTATTCTGACTTTTGTTATTTATTTTATATAATGAGTTAATTTTATTCTCAGCTCTTTCAATTTTTGGTTGGTTGCAGTGATAGGTCCACATATGTTCTACCTCTGCCTATATATAATTAGATTTGTGTAACTACCGCTGTTGTATTACCACATTTCTCGCAAGAAATCTAAAGCGAGAAAAGAATACTTAGTCCAGATCTTTCGGCCTTACTGTTGACCAGTCTGCCAAACTGTCAGAAAAGTGCTTTCTCAAAACACAGTTTCCTGTGGAAGCCATAGCTGGGCAGCTGTTTTCTTTTTCTCTACACTTTCACAACTTCTACAGTGAATATTAAAAGGAATACAAAGTTTCCCGGCGTGGGTTCCTAAACATCATTGAACAAAATGAGCTGCACTAAGCCTTATAATAATTACGCGGTTCTTTTAATGAGTTAAACAGTCTTGTTATATAAGACATATAAAAATGTCTTGAAGTCATATAAAAATTGATGCATGTATTTTTCTTAGGAATCATCAGTGCAAAGTAAACTCTTATAAATACATTCAAAAAGCGCTAAGGCGCGTTAAAGCTTTTCTTTCTTTATTCCATTCAATACTTCTATATCTAGGAACTTAAATAAAACTGATATCAGCTATTCGGTTTAGCTCCTCAGTTTTCGCTCTGCATTTTTAAACCAGCTTTGATTTTATAATAAAGGATTTGATTAACAATTAGCTGTCAATAATACTATTATGACGATTATATTTATCAACTGATATAGCTCGTTATTGTACTATTTTTTTTTTTGTGGAGCGAGAAACTTTCCGTATAGTTTTCATTTTAAAAATCGGTTCATTGCGTTGACCTGAATTATATTATAAGAGATTTCTCTTTTTAAACAATATTTTTAAATTGAAAAAAAAGGGAGTTAAAAAACTATGGGTCTTTTTCGCAACTATATAAACATATTAGATAATTTTTTTTTTTAGTTTTTATTTCCAAGTATCAAGAGATGTTAGATCATTAATCATACATTATAATATAACAATTTTTATCATGAAAGAAAGTAAGAAAACCTAAGTATAATAATATTTATATATAACATATAAAATATTCATGAGGCAATATAAAAAGCGCCTAGGATTTGAAATTACAGATAACTAAGTAACTAAATAGAAAATAATTTTTAATGAATCGAATGCCACAATCTTTATATGAAACCCATTTAAGAAAATATTTAATTTATAAGAAAACACGTAGGGTGTATGAAATTTTGTGTTGATCAGTCGTTAAAAAAGTTATTGTAAATTACTTCTGTCGCTAAATTGTGTGCCATATTTACCTGGCACTTGGTATACTTTTTCTGTGGTCAATTTTAAATTAGCAATACAAAACAGCCGATGGCAAAAAAACTGGTGAAATTACTGACGACGGATTTATAACTTTGAGGGAAAGCCCTTGAGGCCTAAATGCCACTTCATTCTGTGAAACATAGAAAAAAGGATTATGAATATTAGAATTTGTTTAGAAGTATGTTTGTATGTATGTATGCATATTTACTTAAAAGTTTACAACGTTTGTTTTTTTTTTTACTATAAACTCAGTGCTTAACTACTGGGAACTTGTAAACTTTTAGCTATAAGGAATAAGAAATTTTAATTTCAATTTTAATTTTAACCATTAATTTTTTAAGGTAGGCAATGTATACAAAATTTCCAAAATTTAAGCAAATCATTACTAGAACGGATAAAAAGTGAACTCAAGTATTGCAATAAAAGTTTTCCAATTTAATCTTAAGGTTGCCTTGTTTACAAGATTTAATAGAAGAACTGATAACCAGTTGAATTATGATTAAGAAAAATAATAAAATTATATTAAAAGTTGCTTTGAAATTTTATTTATTATATCAAACTTAAAGGTTATATTATATCAAAGGTAGATTATATTCAATGTTATTAATATAATCTTAATCTTAAATTTTTATACATTTTAATATAAATTTAATATGTTTGTCATGAGAGATTTTCTGTTGAGAAGTTAGAAACATTTTTTATTTGATGTATTTTAAAACTAAAGTTAATTAAGATAGATAACTTTGATTACTTTGATTTAAATAGTATTTTAAAAATACAATACGAAATTGCTAAAATTTTCGAAAAAGTGTTTGATTTTTAATTGGTTTGTGACCAACAACAATATTTTGAATTTTTATTATTATGAAAATTAACAATAATTAAACTCAATTAAATTTTGCTTTTTCTATCCATTTGTGTATCATAAAATAACAAATTATATTAATTTTAAAAATGAACTGCCTGTTATTGTCTAATGTAATATTATTTTGCTTTTGTTGGTCAGATTAAGTTAAAAAAGAATATATAGATACGAACATGAACACTTTCGTTTAGATAAGACTACTCTTTTTTCTAATACTCTTACAGTTTATTATGGTTTTTGTATAAATATTTTATTAGTTCAAATATATCTTTTTACCTCATAAGGCTCAATATCATTTTGAAGTTATGAAAATAAATAAATTTATGAACAATAAAGAAAAAATATTGAACAACACTTTATAATTATACAATCTTAATTTACATTTTGATGTAAATGTGAAGTTTTAAAGTATCTATTGTCATCCAGTAATTAAAAGCACTAATAAAGCGCTTTGAAGCTGACGCAATCTATCGATTAAGTAAAGTAATTAATTAACTTATTTGTTAGTGAAAAGTATTTAGATTCTATTTTTTTATTTATGATATCGAAAATTTATATTACATTTGAATGAATAATGATAATGATAAATGCATTATTTCTGTACCTAAAGTTAGTTCTTAATTTTTTTTAATTTTAATAAAATTAGCTTATTATTATTTTAAAACCACAAATCGGTAAATTGGGCGTAGTGTTATGAAACAGTCTATCATTTAATTAAACATAGTCTTATAAAAATGTATAACAACCAATATAGCGTAAAAAACAATTATTAAAGAAAATAAATCGTCTGACAAATATATAATTGCACAGATATTAGTTTGATGTGACAGCACGAATAGACATGTTTCTTACACCAGACGAAGAGGAAAAAATATGTATAAAGATCGACATATTTAGT